CCAGTTAGCCGTCTGGAGGTTGGAATAGCTTCTGCAGGTGGTGTCGTGAGTCCCGAGTTAACCCCCTCTCCCCCTCCATTGCTCAGGTCCTGGAATTCCTCCAAGAAGGCCTGCGCAAAGGGCTTTCCCCAAACACCCTGAGACGACAAGTCACAGCCCTGTCAACCGTTGTCTCTTGCGACAATTTTGGTTCCCTCTTCCACCACCCTCGGGTTAGAGCCTTCCTCAGAGGTGCCACCAACTTGTGCCCCCCGACTGTTCACAGGTATCCTACCTGGGACCTCAATAAGGTTCTCGTTTCTCTCACAAGGCACCCGTTTGAGCCTCTAAGGGAGTCCTCCCTTCAATTTTTAACATTTAAGGTAGTTTTTCTGGTGGCCATTACATCAGCACGGCAAGTTTAGGAAATCGCAGCCTTATCAGTCAGAAAGGACCTCTGCGTGTTCCACGCTGACCGGGTGGTCCTTTGTCCCGACCCCTCCTTCCTGCCCAAGGTCAACTCACCCTTCCACAGGGCGCAGGAGTTGGTTCTTCCAAACTTTTGCCCCAGACCCTCGAGGGACAGGGAAATTCTTTGGCACACCCTAGATGTGAGACGGGCCTTGCGCATCTACATTAAGCGCACACAACCCCTGAGAAGGTCGGAATCCCTTTTCCTTTCCTTCCAGCCCCGGACATTGGGGCTCAAAGTATCCCCCTCAACCATCAGTCGCTGGATTAGGGCAACTATCTCCAGATGCTACCTATCACAATCCCTGCCCGCACCCAGTGGAATAACTGCTCATTCCACCAGGAGTGCAGCTACTTCGGCAGCCTGGGCCACACAAGCCCCAATCGCTGACATATGCCGGGCAGCCACCTGGGCTTCCCCTTCTCCCTTCATCAGGCATTACAAAATAGACGTATATGCCTCAGCGGAGGCCTCGTTTGGCAGACGAGTCCTACAGAGGGTCATCAGGGACCCGGAGGAGCTTCCGGCCCAGACGGAGTCCCTCCCGTAGGACTGCCAAGCTTTGGTATGTCCCACTCTCTGGATGCTCCGAGCGGCTCGAGGGAGAATGGGCGTTGGTTCTTACCTGATACGCCCTTTCTCGGCGAGCCGCGAGGAGCATCCAGCCCCACCCTAATTTCTCCATCTGGTGGGGAATCTTGTTTCAGCCAAGGATCCACTAGTTGGTTAGGATGAGTACATAGCCTTTCCTTCTCGTCCTCGCAAAAACTGGGGAACGCTGCACGGAGTCACGTGAGGGGGCGGAGCGTTCCTCAATTGAAGCTCAGCCTGTGAGAGAGGACTCTGAAGCACCTCCCACTCTCTGGATGCTCCTCGCGGCTCGCCGAGAAAGGGCGTATCAGGTAAGGACCAATGCCCAATCTCTTTGGACAACACTGGCCAAAGAAACAGAGCTGAGCACCACCCCCTAGAGTTGGAATTGACTGGACAGAGGAAACCTTTGACTGTGATTGGTTAATTCTGAACACAGCCACATCCCTAATTATAAGAGGGTGTGCACACTTATGCAGCTACATTATTGCAAGTTTTTTATTTTTATTTTGTCCCCTAAAAGATTTCAGTTGGTTTTTCAGTTGAATTGTATAGCTTATATGTTATATTAAGGGTAAAAAAAAACCCTGAATGTATTTTGATCTGATTTTTTTATATCTCAAAAACCTGGTATTTTAACAGGGGTGTGTAGACGTTTTACATCCACTGTATAATTGTAATTCACAGGGTTTTTTTCTAAGCTTTAGGCTTTTCTTTCATTCTAGCTATCCATATTGGGATACTTTTAATTATTATATATATCACTCTGCTTAGAGGACCAGAGGAATGAATGCTAATAGAAATATTGCCAAAAGTAGGACTATTGATCAGAGGAAATTAATGTGTTCATGATGTGATCATGATGTGATCAGCATGCTTAAGGAAATAGCTAAGTTTGCAGAAGTACAGCAAACGTTTTTTAAAAATGTCCTCTCCCCATGCACTCTAGTGAGGACAACTTAATAAGTCTAGAATATGTTGAAGAAAGAAACTGTTCTGAGCAGAAGACAAAATGAAAGGAACTGCTTCTAGTTTCTACACCTATTATTCCTGCAATACATTGCAGGAATAATAGGTGTAGAAATAATAACTGCACCATTGTATTATGCCCTATTTGAGAGTGGCCTCAGTTTCTAGTTCATTTAATTCGCTACTTAAACGAGTTCATTGGACAGAATGTGTTACTCCAGTTCTTTTTTATATCCATTAGCTTCCTGTCACCAAGTGGACACTTTTTGACATGCTGATTTTGTTCTCAGAACACAAAGAAATCAGACTAATATCTTGTCTCCATGTTATGCAATATACTATTGCGTTCATAATTATATCTACAAAACAAAATAGCTACATCTATCAGGTCTTAGATTTAAGAAATCAGGTAAAATTGCAAAATAACTCATATTTCTTTTAGTTATTATAGACATTAATAAACTCAGTGCTGTCATATAGTAAGACCACACTCTCTTCACACAAGGGACCTGTATATGTAAACTGGGAATGGGATAAACATTCCAGTATTTGTAGAAGTCTTTTTATTTAAAAAAATGATAAAGAGTTCTCTAAAGCCCAGTGTGAACTGAAATTCCTTTGTGAACAAGGAATGCTAATTATAGTTTGGGAATTAGCATGAAAACATGGATTAAAAGAGGGGTAGGATGGGGTGTGTAGGAACTCTGTTAAAGCCAGTTGTTTTCGAGAGATTGTACACCTGTTACAATGTGAGAAGTTCAGGTCAGAAAAAATGCAAGTGGGCAATGAAAGCTGTTAGAGGTTCTATTTGAAGCAGGTGAAGATTCTCCCATCATTAAACCATCTGTGGATCATGTGGGCTTCATGAAACATAATGGGCCTTTTTATTTAGAATAAACTTGGCATGGGCATTTATCATAGATGCAAACCTGGAAGGTGCTTCTTAATTATTGTTCCTGCTGGTGTACTGTCTATTCTAGGTTTAAAAAAAATAAATCAAGGCCAAGTTATAAAACAAAACTTCAGTTTCTGTGCTTGGAACAATCTGCAATGCTTGAAACAATACAGCTTGAAATGGCCAAATTTCACTTTGTTGTTTTGTTTCCCTGCTGGACCATGCTGAGAACATTAAGCATGATCAAAGGGGAATGGAACATTCCCAAATTATCTGGAATGCTCCATTCCTGAATGTGTGAATTTTGTACATTCCTAATATGAGACATCAGTTGTTTAGGAATTCATTTTTTTAATGAAAGGGAAGTATTGTTAAGCATGAATAGCTTGAATAGAATGAAGCTTCTGCTTATAGTTCCTTAATGCTTCTGTTGGATTTATGTCAAATACTTTAGGTTTCTTATGTAATTAGAGATGAGGTGGAGAAATACAATCGCAATGGGGTAAATGCATTACAGCTGGATCCAGCATTGAACAGACTTTTTACTGCAGGTCGAGATTCGATCATCAGAATATGGAGTGTAAACCAACACAAGGTAAACTAAGCATGGATTGTACTTTACAAATATGTTTTCACTGTTAGGCATATAGTGAAATCAGCTAGTGAAAATTGTTTACATTATTAAAGAATAACCTTTGGGTTGTATCTGCAAGTGTTACAAACACTGTTTCTTACATTTGAGTATTTTTTTTAGTTTAAGGACTTCTCAGATTTTCTGATGTCTGGTCTAGTAAAAGAACAGCAAATTTTAGTCTGGGGATGTTATATAACCATGATTTAATAATAACTCAGCCTGAGTCCTGAGTAACGCCAACCAAAGTTACACTGAAACAAAATATCATTGTATGTCCTCCCTTTTTCAGCCAGATTTGGCTCCCAACATGGCTCCCAATTATTAATCCACTTACATGGATGGTATGTGATCATATCTTCTGTTATTTTGTAGTTAGCAAGCCCATTTACAAAGGGTATACTAGAAAAGGTGCAGATGGATCATAGGGCTGACAGACAATAAAGATCTCACTTGGCAGGAAAAGTTACTCAAATAATCACAATTCTGTATTTTCTTGGATTAAAATGTAGCTGAAATAATTAAACTGGATCCTGAACTTGTTGGCAAATGGTGCAGTGACTTCTAACATAGTTCTGAAATATACACTCTGCACAATTATTAGGCAAGTGAGTATTTTGACCATATCATTTTATGCATATTTTCCACCTCCAAGCTGTATACACTCTAATGCTTAGTGGATATAAGCATATCAAGTGATGTGCATTTGTGTAATGAGGGAGGATGTGGCCTAAGGAGATCAACACCCTATATCAAGGTGTGCATAATTATTAGGCAACTTCTTTTCAGTAGGCAAAATGGGCCAAAAAAGAGATTTAACTGACTCTGAAAAGTCAAAAATTATAAAAAGTCTTTCAGAAGGAAGCAGCACTCTTGAAGTTGCTAAGATATTGGGGCGTGATCACAGAACTATCAAATGTTTTGTTGCAAATAGGCAACAGGGTCACAAGAAATGTGTTGAGAAAAAAAAGACACACATTAACTGCCAAAGATTTGAGAAGAATCAAACATGAAGTTACCAGGAACCCATTATCCTCCAGTGCTGTCATATTCCAGAACTGCAACCTACCTGGAGTGCCCAGAAGTACAAGGTGTTCAAGAGCTCAGAGACATGGCCAAGGTAAGGAAAGCTGAAATCCGACCACCACTGAACAAGACACATCAGTTGAAATGGTAAAACTGGGCCAAGAAATACCTGAAGACAGATTTTCAAAGGTTTTATGGACTGATGAGATGAGAGTGACTCTTGACAGACCAGATGGATGGGCCTGTGATTGGATCAGTAATGGGCACAGAGCTCCACTTTGACTCAGACTCCAGCAAGGTGGAGGTGAAGTACTGTATTATTAAAGAGAAGCTAGTTGGACCTTTTTGGGTTGAACATAGACTCAAAATCAACTCCTAAATCTACTGCCAGTTTTTAGAAGACACTTTCTTCAAGCCAGTTTGAAGTTTATTAACATTTTGGATTGAGAGCACTGTAGTTGTTCAATAATAAAATTCTCCAAAATACAACTTGCCTAATAATTGTGCACATAGTATAGATGAAATTGCCTTGTCATAACAGTCTCAAGAGAATTCTTATGGCAAAGGAACTCAAAATATTGTTTTTTAATTCCAGCAAGACCCCTATATAGCATCAATGGAACATCATACAGATTGGGTGAATGATACTGTACTTTGTTGCAATGGCAAAACTTGTAAGTAACCTTTTGAATACTATATGATGTAACAGAATGACATGGGTCAGGTATCTCAGTGCTTGGTATATGCATAATCTTGCACCTTGCAGTCATAGCCCCTTTTTAATTTATAGTAGTCATGTAAAATTCCATTTAATATATGACCTTTAATATACTTCACAAACATAGTGGAAGCCATTTTCAAGTGATAACATACTAGAAAAATAAAGCTGCAAAAACATTTTAAAATAATGTTGCCAAGTGTCATAAAGCATCACAAAATAAAATACCCAATAAAAAAGAATCTCTGAAACAGAAGTGCTTCCCTGATATTAGCAACACTAATGTAAAAAAAAAATCGGATGTTGAATCCCAGAGATAGAGTTCCAAAGACATGCTTCCATTAATTAGCTCTGGCATATATTTCTGAGCAGTTATCACTAGTAGAGATTCTGTGTTTTAGTGATAAACAAATTTCTCTTGTTACTTGCCATCAAGACAAACAGTCCATTTTATTTTTATAGTGATATCTGCTTCATCTGATACTACTGTTAAAGTATGGAATGCACATAAGGGGTTTTGCATGTCAACCCTACGTACCCATAAGGTAAGGTAGAAAAATGCAGTAAGATAATACTTGTGGTGTGCCACATCAGTATCCTGGTACATAGTTCTACATGTCTCTGTTTTGTTTTAGGATTATGTGAAAGCTTTGGCCTATGCAAAAGACAAAGAACTAGTAGCATCTGCAGGACTGGACAGACAGATATTCCTCTGGGATGTAAATACACTAACTGCACTGACAGCCTCAAATAACACAGTCACAAGTAAGAACCAGAAATAAACCCATGCTAGTTTGTGTAAGACATGCTATGATTGTAAAATAATTGAATCTAAAATGCAGGGGTTTTTTTTAGGAGTGATCATGTGTCCATCTGAAAAGGACAGCAGGAAGTCATTTACTGAATTCCTGAAAATTGACAAACTTGAAGCAATACATCTTTACATGTAGTCTTCTTGCATTTGTCTTGAATGATAGAAGTTAACCTCTTGCGCAGGGGCCATGCTAATCTTCTCTGTATCGTTCCAATTTTAGTATATGTGCTGCCGAACCTCTTGGGGATTTCCGGTTTGTCGGCTTTGCGAGCGGTAGGGATTCGCGAAGCTGCGCGATCCCTGCCGTGCTAGCCGCTTTTGGGGCTCCGATCTGAAAGGTTGCGGAGCAAGGCTGCCCTGCAGGGGCAGCTGAAGGTAGGGGGGATCCGGAAAAGGGTTTGGGGGTGTTGCAGACCCCCTCCCTGGCCGGCAGAACCTCCTTTTACCAAGACGGCGTAGCGGCGGTCCGTAATGGCCGCCACAAAGAAGCTGGCAGCTGGGCAAGTATGCGCAGGAGGAAGAGGAGAAAGTTTTTAAAAGTGAAAGTCTTCTTGGTCGATCCAGGACTCTGAGATATATTTAATTTAATTCCTGGAAGTGATGGCTTTTTGGATGATTCTTTCCATAAGAGAAAGTAAGCGGCAATTCTGAGGTGCTGAAAGGAAAGTTTACTCTCCCTCCCGACGGAATTAACAAACGGATATTGAGAAACCTGTTTTTTTTCAGGTAAAACTAGCTTTATGGGATAAGTCGGAAGGGAGAGGACAAAAAATATATTTATCTGGCTGGATTTTGTTGGAGGAGATGCCTTAAGGATTTGGAGACAGAATTTTTTTTTTAATAAGGCTTCAAAACACAGATTTGGATTTTCTTTTTTCCTTTGTCTGATACTACCCCTGGAAGAGAAAGTGGGAATTTTGGCTTGGCTTGGATTGATTGAGGATTGTGGACTTTGGGATTGTCTTACTTTTCTTTTGGAATATTTTGGTTGGAGTAAGAAGAAAGAGGGAAAAAAGAAAAGAAAAGATTTATAATGGCTTTCTCCCTTGAGGAACTGAGGGATGAATATGAGCAAACAAAAGCAGCCTGTAAATATGGTATGGAAAAAGCTTTTCTATTTTTAGAAATGGCGCTGGTTAACTATGAACAGACAATGCGACAGATAGAACTACAACAAGAAGAAGACGAAGACACCATCTTTAATGAATCCCAAAATTTACCTAAGGAAGAAGGAAGGAAGAAAGCGAGGAAAATGAAGGACTTAAGATCTAAAAAAACATTTAAGAAAGAGAAAAATATGATGCAAAATAAATATAATGATAGCAAACAAGAGAAAAAGGGAATACAACAGAGAAGGGATGCCAGCAAGACAGAGGTTAGAAGAAGGGGGGGTAGGAAGATCGGGTGGGGGAAGAAAGAAAGGGGAAAGGCGGAGAAAAGCCACAAAGTTTTAAAATTGGATGGGAAAAGAGGAATCTTTTTCAGGGATAAAGGGTAAAGTATAAATTTTCTTAAAAAAGATTTTGCAAGGTACATAAGACGGTATTGTAATATTTGTATTAGAAATAGAAAATTAGAATGGTTTAAGAGTTAATAAGAAGTTAAAATGTTGAAATGTTTAATAATGATTGATTTTTAAAATGTAATAAAATATTGAAGGGAAAGGCAATGAGAATGTTATAAGATTTATTATTTAGATTTATTATTTAACTACGTATTTAGGAGGATACTATGTATTTAAACATTTCCGATTTATTACTCTGTTTTTATTGTTATTAAAAGTAAAAATTAATAGATAGAATGTACCAAGCAGAATCAGATTGGATATTAGGTGTCATTTTAAATGTTAATCTAATATTTAGGGAGAGGATAGAAAGGCATCATACTCTGATTAGAGATTTCAGGAGAAATTCTTTTTTTTCTTTCATTATAAGGAATGAGATAGAGTGATAATAAAGGATGGGCAAAAGATACAAATATAATGATTTAAATTAAGATGGATTGAATAAGATAGAATTATGAAGAGTGAAATGTGTGGAGAAGTATATATAGAAGATACAGAATGGTAAATAAAATAGGTAATGATCTGTAAGATGAGCATGAATATAATTAAAGCCCATATAAAGAGAGGTACCGGGGGCCAAGTTACTTTACTAAAAGATTTTTTATATGTTTGTTTGTGTCTGTTTATGTTTTTGAGAAGTATTGGTGAAACCTTTTAGAAGCATAGAAAGAAAATGACGATAATCAAGTCAGAAAGAAATAGAGGATAAGAGATGTTTTTTATGTTCATTTAGAAATGGTTTAAAATAGAATTGTATTGTATAAGATAAGGTTTTATCTGACTTGTAAAATTTATAATGGAAAAAGGTTTAAATATGTAATGGTTGATGATGATTCGTTTGTTTTTGAAATTAATAAAACTTGTTTTTAAAAAAAAGAAGTTAACCTCTTGATGTTTCTGGAAGAGCTTCTGTTCCTTTAAAAGTCTGATTGATGCCATTCTCTTCCAACAGAATACAGGTAGTCCTCAAGGTACAAACCTAATGGAGCCTGCCCATTAGGTTCATAAGTCACAAAATTCATCAAATTAATCACTCAATTTTACAAATTTTTAAAATCAAATTCATTAATTGAATCAAATGTTCCATTAAATGAATGAAGAGCTGACTTACTTCCCACACAGCTGCCAATCAGCTGTTTCCAGTACAGCCGAAGGAGGAACTAAATTGCCTCCAAGCAGGCTAGCAGAGCTCCCAGTTTGCAGTTTAAAAAAACCCCATCAAACTTCTTCAGACAGCTGCTCAGAGGGGGTGAGGTGGTAATTTATAGAACTCTCCACTTGCAGTTGCTTTTTTAAAAAAACCACCTGCCACTAATTAACGATAGCTTTAGAGTCTCCAGGTAGGCACCATGAGAGATGGGGATTTACAGAACTCTTGGCTTGCAATAGTAACAGAGATGGAAGAGACCTTGAGGTCATCTAGTCCAACCCACTGCTCTCACAAGAGTATTTCTATTAAATGCCTATCCACATGCTTTTTTATATGATATCAGGAAAACCACTCAGAAATACTTTCACAGACATTTAATTAGAGATGCATTACTGACCAACTGGAAGAAAATAAGAGAAAAACATTATTTAAAGATACCAATCTGGATTTCAACAATGGAAGTGATGATCCACCCAAATAATTTGGATATTACTAAGATGATTAAATATAAGGACTTATTGGATGCGCAAGGAAATTTGAAACTGTGGCAAGATCTTCAAGATCAGGGAGTACAAATTGATAGATGGGTATATCTTCAAATTCAGAGTAGATACAAACAAGATAAGAATTTGGAATCAATAATAAACTCCAGCAACTAGATAAAATTCTATTAGGCCCAGATAAAAAAAATATAACAAAATGTTATAATTATTTACTAGAGGCAGAATTAGAGGAAGAAATTGTCAAAGGAAATATGATAGCCTGGAGTAGGAATATAGGATGCAGTATTACCTTAATAGAATGGGAGAAGGTCTGGAGTAGAAAAAAAAAATTACAAAATCAGCAGCTTACAAGGAAAATGCCTACAAGATGTTTTACAGATGGTACCTTCCCTCCTCGAGATTAGCAAAAATGCGCCCCAACGTGAGTCTGAATTGCTGGAAATGTAAAAAAAGGAGGGAACTTTCTTCCATATGTGGTGGTCTTGTATAGAGGCTCAAAAATATTGGCAGAAAATTAGAAAATGGTTGGAGGAAATGACAATAGAACAGATCGAATTTAAACCAGAATTCTTTTTATTAGGGATTTTTAATAAACAACTCTCAAAAAAAGTGAAGTACACAACAATACATATTTTGACAGCGGCCAGACTGGCCTTTGTACAAAGTTGGAAGCAACCTCATATTCCATCAGAGGAAATGATTATTCAAAAAATAGCAAACTGTGCAGAGATTGACAGATTAACTTTGGCATTAAAAGGAAAAGATACATCAATGTATTATGACAGCTGGAACTGCTGGTACGAATGGATGGAACAAAGATAGAGTAAACAACAAAGGGCAAAAGAAAATAGGTTATAATCGTAGTAGTGACTAGATATATATATATATTCGCACAAGGAGTAATTGTATAGAGGGTACAAAATAAGGTTGAAAAGAAGGTCCCACAAACTGTTGAGGACGAAACGGTTTTTAATTGTCTCCTGAATTTTCTTTTTCACTTTTTCTTCTTTATTTCTTTTTTCTCTTTCACATTTATATATGTGTTGTTTGTCTGTTTTAATTGTAAAATTAATAAAGTTTATTTAATTTTTTTTTTAAAAAAATAAATGCCTATCCAGTCTCTTCTTAAAAGCCTCCAGTGATGGGGCACCCATGACCTCTGGAGGCAATTTAGATTTAACTTTTAAAGTTAACAAACACTGCCCTGATCAGCACAAGCCTCTCCAGGCAAAATCCAAAAACTCTTATAAATAGCTTACAAATTTGAAAAACAGTTTAGAGAAGAGATACAGCACAAAACATTATAGAATGCTTTGTGTAGATGCTGGCTGGCATTTCTATAAGCAGTTTCAAAGCAAATGCATCTTTACAAAGAACTGTACTTACAAAAACAATGCTGTAGTTTGCAAAGTATAGTACAGTACTTAAAAAGAAACAGCAGTTCCCAAAGTGCTTACAAACAGTACTACTGTACTAGAGTAACAAAAATAATATTTTAAAATACTTACAGGAGCAATTCTAGCACTGTAGTTATCAAGCCCAGGCAGCAGCAGATCTGTCAGAGCGTTTGGCAGCGTGACTACCTTTATGAGATAACCCAGGAGCACCACACAGCACACAGAGACTTGGACATTAACAGTGTTTTAATATACAACAGGTATATACAGATAATATACACGTGGTAGCAAAATACCTTTACAAGCAAACTTTTCTTCTTCCTAACACATTGAGAACTTCTGCACTGAATACTGGCCACAAGAAAAGAGAACCACGCCCTCTAATGGCTGCCTTTTATATACACACCTCTTTAGGGGATCTTTTCAGGGAAATACCCATATTCTGTTGAATCACTCTTGTTACATCAGCCAGATTCACAGCATCATGCAGCTACTCACTGCTGGTCAGTTTCTAAATCTCAATACCTTAACAAGATCCTCCATGCAGCAGCAAAAAAACAAAAACAAACTCTGTGCCAGGCTGACTGCAAAAATCACTGGATCTTGTTTGTCCATGTGACCAGGGACAAAAAAAAACCCTGCCGGCTTCCAGAAATTACGTTGTAACCCCAAACGGCACAGGCAAGACACAGAGTTAAAAATAGCGGCTGCTACAGCAGTGACTGAATCCATGTTACATGGCTACAGAGACCTGTTTTTGATCGCAGTTTTGAATTTCTAGTGTAAGTACCCTTTCTGAATAAATATCGTATCTGGGGGATTACCTGTAAAAATATAGTGCAGGTAGTTCTTGAGTTACAACAGTTCACTTTGCGATGGTCCAAAGTTAGGAAACCTTCCCCCCCGCCCCAGTGCTTACGACCTGGTCCCGAAATTACAAATGTTGCAGCACCACAGCAGTCATTTGCCCTTACAACTGACTGCAGAGACACTGCAACATGCCCCCTGCCTATTCCTCCTCCCCCCAGGTCCACACAGGCACTGGGTCTCCTTTGCTAGCCCGCCAGGTTCCACATGCTCCTCTCCATCTTGTTACTGGTTGCTCATTTACCTTTCAAAGATCTGCAGAGCTCAGGGCCACGTGGCAAAAAAGCAGCCGTCTTCTCAGACACTGCTGAAGCTTTTTTCTTTAGATCTTGTATTCTTATACACACTTCCGTCTCCTTTGGAAAAGGCTTTTCACACAGAGGACGAAGGCCTGCAGGGACGTGAGATCTATTTTGCCCCTGCAGGGCTTTTCTGTCCTTTGGAAAAGCTTTTTCCAAAGAGGATGGAAGCCTGCAGAGGTGCAATAGATCTCACATCCCTGCACACCTCTGTCCTCTGCATGACAAGTCTTTTCCAAAGAGGATGGAAGCATGTGTAAGAACACAAGATCTAAAGAAAACAGCTTCAATAGCATCTGAGAAGACAGTTGCTTTTCTCCCATGTGGCCCTGAGCTCTGCAGATCTTCGAAAAGTAAGTGAACAATCGGTGATAGGAGGTTGGTGGGGAGAAGGCCCAAGAAGTTGTGAGGACCCCAAAGGGAGGGAAGCGGAGCATGAGATATCTCAGTAGGTGGGGGGAGGCCTTGGGTGGCTGGAGGCAGGTGGTCTTGTTCCTGCACTTGGCCCCCCATAGTCTTCCCCACCCCAAGATACCTCATGCACACTTAACGACCCGTGCATTTGATTAACAAATTGGGGATTATTAATTAGCATTGGGGAGAGGAGGGATTGGGCTTGTTCATTTAACATGATTCAATCAATGTTACGACTGTAAAGGGCAGGCACCATTACGGTCGTAACTTGAAGACTATCTGTATTAGATTGGCATCTTACATGTGTGATGTAAGACTGGAATTCTGCAGGCTTGAGTAATTATACAAGTGCAGCACTACCACATTCTAACATACATTGGAATTTTTCTACCCAAAAGAATATCTTGCAATTGAAATACAATGAACAACATTATAAAAGAATCCTCTCTGTAGACCGTTTCTAAATCCTTAGTGTTCCAAAATTTGTATATAGGTGCAAGCTGCTGTTTTTTTTTTTTTTTGTTATTTGTTGTTTCAAGTTTGCTTTTTTTCTCCAACATCTTGAAGTGCTTTCTCTCAAATAATGTTGTATTTTGTGTCCATTAGCTTCTTCCCTTAGCGGAAACAAAGACTCAATTTACAGTCTTGCTATGAATCAGATGGGAACAGTAATTGTATCTGGGTCCACTGAAAAGGTAAGCATAATGTAGACAGCCTATCCCTACAGGATGAAATGAATTGCTGAAATGATTGCTAATGGAGTTTTTATATAGCTATGAAACAAATTCAGGAGCTCTACTCCAGTAGAGAGAAAAATCGTCAGTCTGTATGGTAGAGGTGTACAGTTGCAGGATCTTTTGAGATGCTGTTTCTTTTGGACTTCCTTGAATACATTTTCTTTCAATTTTTGCCTAGCAGCTAAATTCACTGAGTTAATGAGATAAATTATAAGGAACTCTCCACAGATATGCACACTTGTATTACCAGGAAAAGAACCCATAAAGGAGCAGATAATTTCAGTATAAGGATTTCAACTTTATAGTTTCAGAGTGGTGGCGGCAAGATTTTAAATTACAGTATATTCCTTAAATAATAGCAATAGCAATAGCACTTAGACTTATATACAGCTTTATATTGCTTTACACCCCTCTCTAAGTAGTTTACAGAGTCAGCATATTGCCCCCAACAATCTGGGTCCTCATTTTACCCACCTTGGGAGGATGGAAGGCTGAGTCAACCTTGAGCCTGGTGGGATTCAATCTGCCAAATTGCAGGCAGCTGGCAGTCAGCAGAAGTAGTTTGCAGTACTGCACTCAAACCACTGCGCCACCAAGGGTCTTTATTTTAGGTAATTTCTGATCAAATAATCCTGCTCCTGCCACATCCATGCTGTGGAAGGATTGCATTTGACTCAGTCAAATAGATAATTGATCTGGAAGTTTTAATTGGAACCACAATTATAATGAAAGAGGGTATCCTATCTACCAGTGTGACTGCTTTTCTTCTGTGTGTCTTGCAACAATGTGAGATGGAGAGACGGTAACTCAACAGTAGAACAGTATTTTATATGCTGAGGGCCTCAGCTCAGTTTCTAGAATTTGCAGAAAGAGCTGGGGGGAAATGTTTATAGGTGTTTGCCAACCACAGCAACTTTAAGATGTGTAGACTTCAACTCCCAGAATTCCCCAGCTGGTTCGGAAAATCTGGGAGCTGAAGTCCACACACATTAAAGTTGCTGAGATTGGGAAACAACTAGTCTAATAATTTGACTTAGTATGGTAGTTTCATAACTTCTTATATGTAAACAATAAAGGTTATTGTAGAATTTTTGTCCTTTGTAAAAGCTCTAACATTTAATGGTTTTGAAATAGGTAGCATCTGATAGTGTTAATATTAATGTGAATGTGTATAGAGATTCTCAGTCATCCAGGTCATGGTTATCCTAAAGGTGCTTTCTTTCAAAAGGCAACTGGACTTTCTTGTTTTTCTAGAAGACATTTCACTACTCATACAAGAAGTTACTTCAGTTCTGACTGAATGGTGGAGAATGGAAGAATTTATATCCCTTGCGATCATGTGGTTTCTCTGAGAGTTGTTGAGGTCACTTGGATGTTTATCTGTGCCCTCAGGGTTACCTGAATCTTGTAGTCTGCATTATTATTATTATTTTTTAAACAAATTTTATTCAATTTTTCACATAAAAACAAAAAACTCTTTTTGGTGGACAACATATTTCTGGGTCATCACTTTTACATACAAATATGACAATAGTTATACATTCATATATGCATACTTAATTCTATTATTACTTTTTCCATTCCAAACTTTCAGAAAGGAGAGAAACAAGCAAATTTATCCTAGTCTCTTACATTAATCTCAATCAAAACATCTTTTCGTTCCATTTCAATTATTTCAAATATAATCCTTTAATATTTATTTTAAAAATAAAAATAACAATATATGTTTGCCTAATAAAAAAAGTTACTAATGTCTCTCCTTCCTTTTAATAGTCTGTATTAGCTAATTGATTTAAGTAGTTCTTTAATATGTCATATTTTCTTTCCATCACACATTTTTTCTATAGATTCTAGATTAATACAAGTTTTAACACAAAAGAAAAAGAAACATGCATAGGTTTCCCCCGTTTTACTGCTTTGAGTGTGACACCTCAGTGGTTAAAATATACCTTTATTCCCTCATCTTAATTCCCAATAAACCATTATTTTTAAATAGTTACAATAATAATCATTACATCTTTTCATTTGGATTCTGCAATGTATTTTCCCCCCTTAATTTTATTTCTAATTTCAAAAAAGTAAAAGGGAAAAATTGACTATTCAATTTCTGGTCACTGATATTAACCTCATTTTTTAAACATCTTCACATTCATTTGAATTATTACAAATTCTTCAATAAACCTTAACTTTTCTTTTAAGAATAAAAATAAAAATGTATATTCATCTAATAAGAAATATCAGTATCTATCCCTCCTTTAATAGTCTATATTACCCTATTTTCTAAGTATTTTTTTTAATTGCAAATATATTCTTTTTTTTTTTTTTTTTGTAAATTTTATTCACAAAGAGAAAAAAAAATACAAATAAAACATCTTTTTTGAAAGCAGCATAATCCCGGGTTACATTTCTTCGTACAGACACAAATTCAGGTTCATGCTCATTTTTATATTCTATTCCATATCTTATTACTATTTTACATTTTCTGCATAGCTTCTCCCCTCTTTTAATTTTCTCAATTTTATTGTAATTATCTCAATTCAAATCATTGTATTTATATTTTTTGTCTGTCCTGTTTCAATTATCTATTATCTTTTCTCATTAAACAAAGTTTCTCCTGTAGTTACTGATTGGAGTATGACGCCTTTATATCTTTTCCCTAAAGTTGTAACTTTCAATATAATACATAACTTCCATTCGGGTTCTGCTTGGTACATTCTTAAAATATACACTGTATTCTTAAAAAAAGAAAAAAAATTATAAATGTATATAATTAAAACAACATTCCATTCCAATTCAATTCTATCATTAATATTAATTTTCATTAAAGTCTTAACATCTTTAACATTACTTTTCAATTAAATATCATACTTCTATGGGAACAATTATAAGCTTTCCATAGTTAATTTCCCCCCCCCCCCGCGCTTATATTTTATAAAACATTAACTAATTAAAATGTTCCCGTTCCTTCCTAATTCAATTTTCTCATTTATTTTATTTCACTTATTTTATTCACAAACATTTCACTAAATTACATTATTTTATCCCTCATTTTGATCATACGTTGTTTCCAATTTTCTAAAGTTATTTCTATTACTAATATAACAATACAATCTTGTGTACCTTTACAGAATCCCTTTTTCAGTTAGATTTTCACCCATTATCTCTAAATAGGTCCCGTTTCTCTATATCTTGCTCCAGTCCTTTGTAACTTCTTTTCCTTTCCTTCTTCCCTCTCTTCTTCTCTCTCCCCTTTTTACCCCCTTGTCTCTCTACCTCTATTTCTCTCTTCTGTATTCCCCTTTTCTGTTGCTTTCCAGTATTATACTTATTTTTCGAATTATTTTTCTTTTCTTTGGTTGTTTTTTTAAATCTTAAATTCTCCATTCTCTTTCCCCCCTTTCCTTTTTCTTCCCCACCTAAAATTACTTGTTCATTAAAGATGGCTTCTTCTTTGTCCCAGTCTTCTTGTTTTGCAGACGTTTCTTGTTGTTTCTCATAGTTCCAAATCTCCATTTCTAAGAATTGAAAAACGAAGCCAAAAGAACCCTTCCCTTCTTGTGCATCTTCTTTGTACTCTTTAAGTTCCATTTTCAATTCATCCAGAAGTGGTGCCATTGTATAAATTTTTAAACAACCACCCAGTTGATTTTAGTCATTCAAATATAATAACCAAAAATCCAAAGATCACCAAATAATCCAAATACACGCAAGCTGTTTCTTTTTTGCTCTTTTTTTTTCACTTTCTCTTCCTGGGGTTACTGTTTAGTTGCAAAGTTTCAGTTAAAATGTATCTTTTAGAAGTCTTGTTAAAGTTTTACTTTAGATTCTTTTTAATTCCAGGCAGTCTCCTCCCTCTTCCAGATCCTGCCCTTATTCTTTTTCTCTCCCTTCCTGCTTATGAAAAAGAAAGTTTTTAATGTCCAGAAATCTTTATTATCCCTTTGGCATTTTGTTTTATTTTCAGCTTAATTGCCTATTGATGTCAAAGCGGATTTTTCCGATTTCTTATTTAAGTCTCTTAGTTGTCAGTATAGGGAAGGAGAGAGAAGAAAAAAAAAAAGCCAAACCTTTCCCTTTTCACTTTCCTTCGCTGCTTCCGACTCTTCTTTGGGAGTAATGTTATTTTTTGTAAGTTTAAATTCCAGGGTACCTTGGTTGTTGCTTTTACAATTTAACCCGATCAGCCAAAACTTTAACTTCTAATCTTCCTCCTGCACATTCTTTTCCGGTCGAGTTCTTCTTTGTGGTGGCCATTTCTGACCACCGCTGCAACCGCTTTCAGGAAAGGGAGTAATGGCCAGCTGAGGAGGAGAGATGCAGCTCTCCTCGACCCTGCTGGTGGTCTCCCCCCTCTTCACCACCTCTACGGGGTGGCTTAGCCCTGAAACCAGCCGGCTCGGGGCGCTCCAGCGGCGAGCCCAGACAAAAACCGTGCACGATCACGGATTTCTGTCTGTCGCCGAAGCCCTTCAAACTGGAAGTCAGGCCCAGGACTCTTCAATCTAATTGCAAATATATTCTTGTTACCCCTTGTCACCCTGCAGAATCCCCTTTTTAATTCATCAGCCATTATCTCTGAAAAAAATGATTTCTTTTCATCATTTTACTATTTCTGTGTTTCTTTATTTCTTGCACCTGTTTCTTACTGCCTCTCCTCCCCCTCTTTTTCCCATATCTTTTCTCATTCCGGTTTATATCCCTCTCTTTCTTAATATCTTCCTTTCCCCTTTTCTGCTGGATCTTTCTACCTCTCCTGATTTCACAGGTATTCCCTTTTTTGATTACATTCTTAAATCTCAACTTTTTAGCTTTCCTTCTTTCCCCTCGTCTTTGTAGTGTTCTTTGTGTTAATTGTCTATTTAAGATGGCTTCTCCTTGAATCAACTCCTCCTCCTCTGAAGTTCTTTCTTCTTCTTCAATCGCCATTTCCATTTCTTCTAACACAGAGCAAAGTGATTCGCCTCTTTCCTGTAGTAATTCTCTCATATTTTTAAGTTCCATTTTTAATTCCCGAAGAGATATCATCATTACACACCCTTATATTTTATAATCGTTGAAGTCCACAAAAAACACGTTTACTTTCCTTCTTTCTTCTTCTAGTTTTCTAAAGTTCTCAATTGTTCCACCCCAGGGTTTATACCAAAAACATCAATCAATCCCACAATCAGTCTTTCCTTGCTTCTTTCTTTATTCTAGTTCAGCTTTCACTTTCTAAGATTCTTACTTTATTTCAATATTTCTTTAACATTATATCAACACAAGTTCATACAGAAACAGGATGCTTTCCCTTTTGTTTGAGTTCAAGTTTTTGTCAGAAGATGGCACTCTCTGTTATACAACGTCTTCACCTTTTTCCCCTATTTTTTTATTTAGGGTTTTTTGAACCTCAAAATTCCAGCACAATCCAGTCTCCAATTTGTAAATTTTATTATTATTATTTTTTGACAATCTTAAGTCCAGCTTTATTTTATGCCTGTTTATTGCCAAAATATTTTAGTCCAATTTAATTAAGTCTTTAGTTCCGGCTTCTTCCTTTTGCGGTTCGAAGCCCCGCTTAGCTGTCAAAAATATTTTCTTATTTTTTTTCCTGTCCCTTTGTATTTTCACCGCTCACTTTTCTTTTCTTAAAAGTTCAATGTTACCTTAATCCCGGGGTACTTTTTGTTTAGTTGTTTCACCCAATTGTCCCAGCTCAGATGTTATCCACCTCTTTCTTCACTCCTGCACAAATCTTAATCCAGCTGAGTCCTCCTCTTCGGGGTGGCCATTTTGGACCACCACTTCAGTCGTCTTCAGGGGGAAAAAGACCAAGCCCAGGAGGGGAGATGCGGCTCCCCTCAACCTGGCTTGTGGCTTCCCCTTACTCCACCGCCCCTCCAAGGCAGCTTCAGCCCCTAATCTCAATGATCGGGGCTCTCCAATGAAAGAGCATGGACCATAGCCGCGGACAGTCGCGATCTACGGTCTGTCAGCGAGGAGGGCTCAACCCGGGTTGAGCCCATTATTTTCTTTTTCTGGAAATCCTTTCATACTCCTACACTCTTGCATTAATGTGAAAGGATTTTGAAAAACTAATTTCAAGCAAAGTAAGAATATATGAGCTTAATACCTTTACTTCAGAAGTGCTACCAGTTTCTAATTGTTTTTCTAATAGGTTTTAAGGGTATGGGACCCAAGAACCTGTGCAAAACTTATGAAACTCAAGGGACACACAGACAATGTTAAAGCTTTGCTATTGAACAGAGATGGTACACAGGTATGTTTCTAATATACTTCCATAAGTTTTTTGGCTGCCATGTTGTAATATTTCTCCATCTAATTAGGGCTACTTCAGTAACATAGTTCCAGTTTCTTAAATAAAAATTACATTTCAATGCACCATATATCTTAAATCTTACTCTATGAATTTTATGAATTGAATTTAGTATTTAACACTTGCAGCATGCATATCAGAGATGGTATTCAGTAGGTTCTGACCAGTTCTGGAGAACCGGTAGCGGAAATTTTGAGTAGTTCGGAGGACTGGTAGCGGAAATTTTGAGTAGTTCAGAGAACTGGTAGTGGAAATGTTGAGTAGTTCAGAGAACCGGCAAATACCAGCTCTGACTGGCCCCACCCCCATCTATTCTCTGCCTCCCGAGTCCCAGCTGATCGGCTATGTCTTCTTTTGTTGCCCTGCACAGGAGAACAGAGTTGGAAAGTTGGTTAGTGGCGTGGGGAGGGAATGGGGATTTTGCAGTAACCTTCCCCCAGGAGCGGGGAGGGAATGGAGATTTTACAGTATCCTTCCCCTGCCATGCCCACCAAGCCACGCCCACCAAACCACACCCACAGTAAAAAAAAAAAATGAATCCCACCACTGATGCATATGAGTATTTTTTTCAGAATCAATAAGCAGAACTGGCACATCAAGAGTCAAGCATGTATGGGTAAAGCATAAATGAGTATTTTCATTTGAATGACAAAAGTGATACACTAGATGTAGCTTTTAACCATTTAGTTCAGTGTTTCTCAACCTTGGCAGCTGGATGTGTGAACATCCACTCCCAGCATTCTCCTGTGCTGGCTGGATAATTGGGAGTTGAAGTCCACACATCTTAAAGTTGCCAAAGTTGAGAAACAGTTGAAATACCTGCAAACACTGCTGTTGCATTCTTTTAGTCAAAAGATTGTTCTTGTCAATGGCTTTGTGTTTATAATTGGATCCTGTAACATTTTTTTAACTCTCTTTCTTATAGTGTCTGTCTGGCAGTTCTGATGGAACTATCCGACTCTGGTCACTTGGTCAGCAGAGATGTATAGCTACATACAGAGTCCATGATGAAGGTGTATGGGCACTTCAGGTCAATGAAGGCTTCACTCATGTTTATTCAGGTGGAAGAGACAAAAAGATATATTGTACAGATTTACGAAACCCTGATATTCGTGTGCTTATTTGTGAAGAAAAGGCACCAGTTCTTAAGGTAATATTTTTTAAAATCTTGTTGAAGCTTAGGGAATTGGCTATTGTTTCATTCATTGGTATGCTTTTGCCTGTCCTGATGATTGCTGGAGAAATGCATAATATAATTTTACCCTCCTCACAATTGTATCTGGGTTGTATCCAGGGGTGGGATTCAAATTTCTTAACAACCTGTTCTGTGGGCGTGGCCTAATTTGTGGGTGTGGCTTGCTGGTCATGTGACTGGGTGGGTGTGGCTTGCTGGCTGGGCGTGACTTGCTGGTCACATGACTGGCTGGGCGTGGCTTGGTGGTTACATGACTGGCTGGGCATGACCAACTCAATGTCACTCATGTCAAGGGGTGCCTCACCTGGCCCCTCCCCTCCCAGCCATTCCTTGTCACACCCAGCCTCAACTTATCTATAGTTCTGTAAAAATGTCACCTTTTTTTGACTTTATTATCTACGTGCTATAGATATACTTTCATGGACCACTGAAAGGAGGAAATGGCTCACATGCTTTGCCCAAGAGGGTGATAGGCAACAGGCTTTTAAGGGGCTTCCAGAAAGAAGGGAGGGCCATGTATTTTCCAAAGAAGCAGAAGAAGAAGAAACAAAACAAAGCAAAACAAAAAGCAACAGATGGAAACTGAACAAAGAGAGAAGCAACCTAAAACTAAGAAGAAACTTTCTGACAGAGAACAATTAACCAGTGGGACCTGCTTGTCTCCAGAAGTTCTGGGTGCTCCAACACTGGAGGTTTCTAAGAAAAGACTGGACAGCAATTTCTCTGAAATGGTATACGGTTCCCCCCAAGGTCCCTTCTAAGTGTTATTCTGACACCTTTCCCAGGACCTCCACTCAGATCCAAAATGTGGCTGTGATAGTTGATCAGAGCTCCTCTGTTTTTTATATGCAGCAGCTTTAGCGTTTAGGACAGAGGTCTCCAAACTTGTCAACTTTAACTTTAAGACTGGCTGAGGAATTCTGGGAGTTGAAGTCCACAAGTCTTAAAGTTGCCAAGTTTGGGGACCCCTGGTTTAGAATCAGAGCTAAGCTACTTACTTTTCTATTAATACATAATCCTTAAAAGGGCTCTCCTGCATGGTCTAATTCAGAGGTCCCCAACCTTTCTGGCACCAGGGACTGGTTTCATGGAAGACAATTTTACCATGGACCTGTCTCTCTGTGTGTGTGTGTGTGTGTGTGTGAGAGAGAGAGAGAGAGAGAGAGAGAGAGAGAGAAGGGGGGAGGGAGAAAAGTATTCAGTTTGGGAAAGAAGCACAAACAGAAGTGATTAATTAAATAGTGGGTGGGCCACACATGGAGTAAAATAAGTGTGGGATTGTTACTTAAAGCCTGCCACCAGATGATTTTGCTCCAGCCCAGGGGAAAATCAGAATAAACACACAGGGAAGACTTCACAGGAAGAGGCTTTTTTGTTCTGCTCTGGAAGAAAATTAGAAGACACAGAGAGAAATCTTCACTGGAAGAGGCTCTCTGCTTTTGCTCCAGAGGAAACGTCCAATCAAAGACCCGGGAAAGCAGAAAGAGGGTAAATGACCACCACTTGCATTTTTCAATGGTTCAGCACAGTGATTCTCTTCCAGATTAGACCTGTGACTTTCTTCTAAGAAAGGGGGGAGAAAGGGGCATGGGGGGAGAGAATTCTTACTCACCCTTCCAGCAAAACAAACAGAAGATCCAGCACATTGAGGAAGTGCTGACAAAACCATTCAAAAGAGAGAAGGAGGGGGAGAGGCAGAGACAGAGAGAGACTTGGTCAGCTGTCTTGGTGCAAATGAGAGAGGGATTCCCTTGGAGACCCAGCACTTAAGGTGACATTCCCACACACATACATACCTTGTTTCCCTCCAACAAGGCTTTGGGAAAGCACTTGGTTGCAAGCTGGGCTGCTGCGTGTTTGTCTTGCAAACTTGGAGAGGTGCAGGAAGGGAATGCAAGCCCAGTTGCAGTGCTGGGAGAAGGAGAGGAGGAAAGTGGGGAAGAAGCAGAGGAAGGAGGAAGAAACAGGAAGCAGGAGGAGGAAGGACCTGGAACTCAGTTGTTGCAAGCCAATTGCAAGCCCAGCTGCCGGAGAACCTTTGCAATTTGCATGTACCAGCCTTACTGTTTGAGGGCAGGAACAAACTGAATGAAGCCCTTACAAGCCGGCTGGTGGGAGGGAGAGCAGGCAGCCCTCCGGTGAGAGAGGCAAACTAATCACCTAATTGAGCAGCCCGTTCTGTGCCCTAATCACTGGCTGGGTGAGCGTGGTCAGGGATGTGTGACAGGCAGCACTCCTGCACGCCCCCCCAAAAGCAAAAAAAAGGCCATTTTTAGCATAGCAAGCCTCCCTGGAGCCTCAGGAGATCCAAAACAGCGTGCCAGGGGACGGGGGGGGGGGGAGGGCCCCCCCCCCCCCCGGTGTCCCCTCCCCCCGCGCGCCGTTTTGGGTCTCCTAAGGCTCCAGGGAGGCTTGCTATGCTAAAGACGGGCTGCTCAATTAGGTGATTAGTTTGCCTCTCCCTGGAGCCTTAGAAGACCCAAAACAGCGTGGGGGGGATGGGTGGGGGGCACCCCCATGTCCCCCCACATCCCCCCCACCCTGTTTTGGGCTTTGCAAGCCTCCCTACACTTACCTGGGAGCCAGAACAATGTGCATAGCAACTTCTGGGAGGGGCGGAGCGGGGTGGGCAGGGCGGGGCCAGCTGGTCTTCGGAACTACTGGTTCACCGAACTGGATGTACAATTAACATCCGGTATGTCCGAACCGTCCTGAACCGGTCCAAACCGGTAGAATCCCACCCCGATTGTATCTGCATTCACTCTTTCTGTTAATGAAACAAATCCCAAAATTATTAAAAGATTACCAGTACAGACAAGTGACTATTCTCCCTTTGATGCTGGAAATATGTGACATCTGTTGATTATTTCCTTCTTGCCACATAAGTCCCTTCTTCAGGATCTTGCATGTTTTTAATATAATACATCTTGATCTCTCTCGCAGCAGAGAGAATAAAATGTTTTGTAGCATTTGACTGAGATTGGAAGATAACTGTTAGGACAGATTAATAGATTAATCGGATGAAAGAAATCCAGGGAATAACCGGGGCTTTAGGCTATGAAGAAATGTCCTGCAAGAAGGTAATGACAAATTATGTCCATATTCTTGCCGCAAATACTACATGGATATGCCCAAGAAGGCAGCATAAGTCAGGTCCAGCTTGGATAATCTTTATGTTTTTGCACATTGTTTCCCTGTGGTACACAAGGAGGAAGAATTTCCTGTGAAAAGAACATAAAGCTCCCAGGCTTCTCTATCTTCTGAAGAAGGAGGTTTAAATCTGCATTGGATCTTTGTGCATCCTATCTGAAGGAAATGCTCTTGAAAAGTGTTCCATTCTAAGATTTTGATTTTTCTTTCTCATTTAGATGGAACTTGATCGATCGGCTGATCCTCCTCCAGCACTGTGGGTTGCAACAACAAAGTCTTGTGTGAATAAATGGGTATGAAGTGTATTGCATTAATGTTTTATATATTTTTAAAATTTACTTCTTGATTTGTCACATAGTCCTATGACATAATGCTTTTTGAATAGTCATAGGCTCTCAGGAAAAAATATTAGTGAGTTAGGATTGAAAATAATTGGGTTCCTTTTCATAGGATTTATTTCCTAGGGTTTATTTAAGAGGCTGATTGGCCTGTAAGTCCCGGGTAAATTAAATTTCTTGTAGGAATGGAAAAATATAGAAATATATCCTCATACTGGATAATTTACTTAAAGGAGACTCCCCTGGTCTATTTTACCCGATTTTCTTTTTTAGACTTTGAAAGGAATCCAGAACGTTAGAGTATCAGGTGATTATGACAATGACTGTTCCAACCCCATCACACCCCTGTGTACACAACCGGATCAAGTTATCAAAGGTGAGACGATTAACTGGAACTTTTTTCAAATTGTTAATTTAGAGCTGGCAGTGATACAGATAAATCATATATGATCCAAAATTAGTTTGTATATCATTTTGGGCACTGTGATGTCCTACGTCCTTAGTTATGTAAAATCATGGTTGGGTGTAGAGGAGTATGGAGATGCCCTTGAAGAAGGAATTCAACAGCTGTTAAGTAAACATTTTAAGCCCCAGAAGGGAAGGAGTAAGAAAGTACCTCAAGATTGTGTTGTGGTTCGCTGGCAGCAGGTGCGGACGACAGAGGTCTGTGACAGCAAGGACGAAAGGGAACCAGTCAGGGAGTCTGGCGACTTGGATGAGGGTCCTGCATCTGATGCAGTGATGGGGCCAGGACTATCGGAGAGTGGGGTGCTGCCTTTGGAGCTTTGGAAGTCTGGCAGCAGTGAAGCAGAGGACCCTGGGGAGCCTGTGAGCGTGTGCGCAGGGCTGCTTGAAGGAGAGAGCAGCTGAAGCAGCAAGGGCAACTCGGGAGTAAGGCTGGAAGGTGATTGCCCCTCCCATAAGGGATTAAAAACCAGCCCTCGGGGATATGTTCTTTGCAGGAAGCAAAGAAGTTCTTTAGACTCTAAGTCCTTGTTGAAGCCCTGCGAACTCCGGTTTGTTTTTGAAACTTCTGTTGGTTGATATTTATCAGTAATTAGACTTATGTTCTTGGCAGCCTTTTACAACCTTGAAAGGACTTGCTTTTATCTTGAACACTTAGGTTTAAATGACTCTTGGCTGGGAATACAAAGAATTCCCAGCACCGCATAAAAATAGGTTTGCTTTTATACACAGTTTGTGTTTGTTTAATTTGAACAAGGCTTGTGTCAGAACAGATTGCCCCACCTTGACTCTCTTTGGAGGGAGGGAGAATCTCCGGCTTTCAAGAGTCTTTTATTATACTTGTCTTGCCCCCGTTGGAGCCTGAATCTACAGGGGAAGACGAGTTAGAACCTGAGCCGACAGAGATTGAGGGGGCTGCTTTGTTGTCTTCGGAAGAACATGGGGAAGGCCAGGGACTTTCAGGATTAGGGCAGATTGCAGGCAGGGAGGAACTGAGGCAGGATGAACATGAGAGCTCAGGTGAGGAGCAAGGAGCACCCCCTCAGAGAGTGGAGAGAAGGTGTGAATAGTGCAGACTGAGCAGGCTACTCAGGAGAAGAGTGCCCTGCCCATCTTCACAAGGCACACCTGGGGAATGAGACTTGAGACACTGTGGGGAGGGGCATTTGTCGGGAACAAACACTGAGTTTCTGAAGTGTTGCGTGTCGACGTTTGAACTTTCCAAGAGTCCTTTCATTCCTTCTGGCATTCTGGACTAATTACTTGGATCTTTTGCTTCTTGAGCTCCTTGATTTGCCCTGTTGGATTTATTGCTGTGCAGCCTTGGTGCAGATAGCGCTGGGCTGGACTAAGTGCAGCCAGAGGCTGCTTGAGGTTTGTGTGGGGGTTATCACTCTGCTCTGGGACTTGCCAGAAACGTGGGAGCGTTTGGGGGAATTTGGAGCAATAAAGGGGCAGTTTGAACTGCCAACTGTTTGTGTTATCTCTGTGCCGTGCCCCGGGTCATCATAATACTTTACAGCAGGAGTGTCAAACTCAAGGCCCACAGGCCGGATTTGGCCCATGGGTTGCTTAAAACTGGCCTGGAAATAGCAAAGGACTGGCCCACAGTGCCTCTGGCAGCCAAAACCTGCCCCGTTTTGGCTGATAGGGTGCTGCAGTAAGCCGTCCAAGATGAAAATGGGGCATGGGTGGGGCTCATGCAGCCCTGCCCCTGCCCCATTTTGGCTGGCAGGGTGCTGCAGGAGGCATCCATCCTGTCCCACCCCCCGGTCAGCCCGCAGAGAACTACAATGCTGATCCAGCCCTCAAAGAAATCCAGTTTGTGTTGTGGTTCGCCGGCAGCCTGTGCAGACGGCAGCGGAATTGGACAGTAGGGAAGAAAGGGGATCAGTCCAGGAGTCTGGAGAGGACTCGGATGAGGGTCCTGCGTCCAATGCAGAGATGGGGCCAGGACCATCTGGGAGTGGGGTGCTGCCTCGGAGTCTGGCAGCAGCGAGGCAGAGGACCCAGGGGAGCCTGTTCCCAGTGCGCGTGTGCACAGAGCTGCTAGAAGGCAAGAGCAGCTGAAACAAAAGGGGTGACTCGGGAGTAAGGCTGGGAGGTGATTGCCCCTCCCATAAGGTATAAAGAACAGGCAAAGATGACGAAACCTTTGCAGGAAGCAAAGTCGTTTGTTTGGTTCAGAATCATTCTTGAAGCTCTTTGTACTTCAGGTGGTTTTTTTTCTAGTTCATTTGACACTTCTGTTATTGGCAGCACTTCACAGGAAAGAAAGGTGGGTGCTTATCTCGAGGGACTGTTTGAGATTCATTACCGTCTGGGAATGAAAATAATTCCCAGCGTTGCAATAAAACAAGACTTGTTTTTAAAAGAAGCGTGTGCGTAATTATGGTCTCGGAAGCTTTGGTCAGAACAGTTTGGCACCCCTGCTCTACAGCAATAAAGAGGTGTTCCAGTAGTCTCTATGGAATCTGTTTTCTAACCTGGCATGTCTTGACAGGTTGACAATGAGACTAAATAAAGAAAAAATAGTTGGCAAAATAAAGATCCTCCATTCCAGAGCTCTTTGAGATAATGAGTTGCAAGCTTTTAGACACATTTTTATAATGACTAAATAAAAATATATTTTATTTTCCCTTTTAAATGGAAAGACTTGGGAATCTTAACTCTAAGTAACATACCAAATGGTGCAAACAACAACAACAACCCTGAAACAACCCCAACATGTCTTCTTTCTGTGATATCAAAAGGAATGTAAGATGAAAATGTAACTTACATTCTGAGGTTTTTTTTACAGGGGAAATGCCATATTTTATGTATGCTTTCTGTATGTTAAATTTCCATGGATTATATAACTTATTTTTGTGGCATCCTTCCTAGGTGGTGCGAGTATCATTCAGTGCCACATTCTCAATGACAAACGACATATATTAACCAAAGATACAAACAACAATGTGGCATATTGGGATGTATTGAAGGTCAGTGGAACTAGTAGTTCAAATATATGTGATTTGGGTATTTAAAAATCTTATTCTTTCCTTGTTCTTTTCCCTTGTAATCCTTTAGAACATAAACCAGTTGGCAGTGTCTATTTGATTGAGGATGGAGAGCCTGTGGCTCTCGTGATATTTTAAACTACAAATCTTGCCATTTCTTGTATGTAGGCATGTAAAGTAGAAGACCTTGGAAAAATGGACTTTGAAGAAGACATTAAGAAAAGATTTAAAATGGTGTATGTACCAAACTGGTTTTCAGTAGACTTAAAAACTGGGGTAAGGCACATTTTTTTAATAACAATTTGACATAATATGTATGCTGCCTTGTTGTTTACTATCTAGTTCTTCTAGAGCTTGGGGTAATAGTCATGGCTCCCCTTCCCATATTTTATTCAGACAATGTTCCATGAGGCTTAACATAAAGCTTAAGTCACGATAACACAATGAGTATACTGAATAGGAATGAGTATAGGTAATATCTATAAGAAACATATGTGGTGCATGAAGCAGAATAGAGAAAAAGAAAAAATGTTTGTCTTATTTCCTAGCTCTTTTGGGGTCTTTTACAATATCACATGCATCAGAACAATAAAAATCACTTATACTTACAGCTAAATAACAATTTTAATTCAATTTTTTTTTCTCTTTGAAAATGTATATTGAGGCACACTTTTCTTTGAATGTTTGTGAACACTAGTAAGGAAATTTAGTATCAAGCACACAAATTTTATTCTGTGTCCTATTCAAATTAATAGATTTAGTGTAACAAAATCACTGACATTGTTATTTACTTAGAATTGCTATCTAATCAAATGTGCTCATCAAGGTTTTCTATGCTTTGAATGCCAATAAAAGTTTTGTTCTAATGCATTTCAAGTCTCACCTAATGGCCTTTTTTGGCAGATGTTAACTATTACTTTAGATGAGAGTGACTGCTTCACAGCTTGGGTTTCAGCCAAAGATGCTGGGTTTAGCAGTGCAGATGTATCTGACCCAAAATGTAAGTGTGTTTTCTTAATGTCACAAAAGGGCTAGTTTTCTTAAAGACATGATCATATTTATTGGATGCAGAAATACAGGTAGTCCTTGAGTTACGATTGTGTTGGAGCCTGCCAATTACATCTGTAATCTGAGGATTCGTAGGAGTGAATCACGTAACACGCCCATGCATTTGCTTATCAAATGTGTGTTAAGTGCACAAGGTATCTCAGTGTGGGGAAGGCCATGGGGGGCCTAGTTCTTTCCCAGACCCACTGAGATATCTTATGCTTCCACCCCCCCATTCTGTCTGACCAGATCACTTACCTTATGTAGATCTCGATGATCAATGGAGTTGTCTCCTCTTCAGCCTCTCTGCCGCAGTTTCGCCTTGAGCAAAGGTTTGCCAAGGCCTACAGGGATGAGAAATTGCATCCCTATAGGCTCTGGTCGTTTTTGCAAAAAGTCCTTTGCCAATGAGAATGGAGGCCAGGAGAGATGACTTGAGGAGGCCTTTGCCGATGAGAACGGAGGCCCAAAGAGACACATGCACCCTTCCCAGCCTCCATTCTCATTGGCAAAGGGCTTGAGGAGGCCTTTGCCAACAAGAACGGAGGCCTTCAAGACCTCTTTTAAACTAACTTTTTTAATCTTTATAATAAGGATAAATTGAGACTTAGATGGCAAACCTACTTCAGATGCTGGCAAAGGCTGGTAATGTTTCAATAGCTATTCTGTGGGATAGCAGACCTGCTTTTGAAAAACCCCAGAAGTTGATACCACTGAGGTGGAGTGCGCCACATTCATGGATTTGTGTTTAAACATCTGTAACTAACAGCAGTAACAACCTAAATATAAATAATTAGTCATGATTTTTTGTTTCCTTTGTATCACAATATACAGTGAACCTTGGGGGGCTTCTGCTGCAAGCTCTGTTAGAATACTGGCCTAGGACACATATCAATCCCATGGATGAAGAAGAAAATGAGATGAATCATGGTGAGCACTTCTTTTCTGCCCCAAGGAACTACTAGATTTCTGGTCCCTATCTCAGGTTGGCATTTGGCAAACCCTACATTTACAGAAAGCATTGATGTATTTAAAAATAACATGTGAATCATGCCTGTTCTTCCTAATTTCATGAGATAGTTAGGTTAAAGTTATCACTTGGACTGGCTTTTGGTTTGTTTGTTTTTTAAATCTATGCAGGACAGCAGCATCTAGGGCAGTGTTTTTTATTTTTTTTACTCTCAGGACCCCTTCCCACTTTTAAAAATTATGGAGGACCCCAAAAGAGCTTTTGTTTGTATAGAATTGATGCGTCCATGCAGTATTTACTTATTAAATGTGGTGAATGTAGTCTGGAGTCCCAAGAGGGAGGGGCTGCTTCCCAGAGAGTAAAGAAGCAGCAGAGCTTGAAATGTCTAGTAGGCAGGAAGAGGGCTAAGATGGCCCCTCCCTAGTAGTTCACAGGGTGATCTATAGTTATGCAAATAGTTGCTTGAGTCTGACAAGATTTCTGTCTGTAGGCAAACAATAAAGAAACTACTCAGAAGTAATTCCACATGTCATTCTTGGTTTGTGGAGCCTAATATCAATCTTGCCAGACTCGGGAGCAGCTATTTGCATAACTATAGATATGTGGTGTGAGCTGCTAGGGAGGGACCATCTTAGCCCTCTTCCTGCCTATCAGACTTTCCAAGCTCCGCTGCCTCTTTGGTCTCTGAGAAGCAGCCCCTACATTCCACCAGTTTAAATCATGTAAAAATAACAATATTAAACCCATTAGATATTAACACAGATAAAATATTTTTCATGAAAAACCCTATGCTTTTTTAACAAAATAATGAGAAGATTGACATTGTTTTACATTTTTGCAAATACTTTCAGTATCTGACAAATGGTTTTCAAACTGCTGTTGGAGAAGACTCTTGAGAGTCCCTTAGACTGCAAGGGGATCCAATCAGTCAATGTTAAAGGAAATCAAACCTGACTGTTCTTTGGAAGGACAGATACTGAAGCTGAAGCTCAAATACTTTGGCCACCAAATGAGAAGAGAGGACTCAGTGGAAAAGACCCTGATGTTGGGAAAGATTGAAGACAAAAGGAGAAGGGGACGGCAGAGGATGAAATGATTAGATAGTTTCATCGACACAGTGGGCATGAGTTTGGGCAGACTGCAGCTGACATTGGAGGACAGGGAGGCCTGGTGTGCTGTGGTCCATGGGGTCATGAAGAGTTGGACATGACTTAGCGACTGAACAACATTCTGGTGGTTGATTTTGATTTTGCACACCCTGAGAAAGTCTTGGGGGATGCCCAGGGATTCTAGGACCACACTTTAAGAAACACTGATCTAGAGGGTTTAATCTTTCCTGCCCTGTCATGTCCCTGAACAAACGTTTCTGCTTCTTGCACTGCAAATAGTGGTGGTGGTGGTGGTGGGAAATCATTGGTACCCATTGGAGTTTATTGTTCACAGCATAGGCTGTCCTGTCCACTGTGATCCCCATCCAGATGTGAGGAAGGGGGTGATCTAGATTAGCTTAAAAACTCACTGAAATTAGGGTCAGGTTGGGATTGTTAAAATTAGATTTCATTGCAATAGCAATTCACACTTTTGTATTGAATTAAATTATTGTATGGTCTTAATAACATGTCTTTTTTTTAACCCATCTGGTAACAGTGAATGGTGAACAGGAGAACAGACTACAAAAAGGAAATGGGTACTTCCAGGTGCCACCACACACACCAGTTATTTTTGGGGAGGCTGGAGGACGCACTTTGTTTAGGTACTGAAATTCTGGCAAAGAAGTGTGAAATCTATCATCTACCTACCTACCTACACACACACACACACACACACTAGTTGGACTTATATCCCACCTTTCCTCCAGTAGCTCAAGGCAGCATATATAACACTGTTTCTTCCATCCACCCCTCACCTCTACCTACAACAATTTTTGTGAGGTTGGGTGGGATGAGAGAGAACAACCTAGTGACCTATACAGGTAGTCCTTGCTACAGATCACCTGAAAATTATAACCAATCACCCCAAAGGACTTATGACCAGAGGTGCTATTCAGCCGGTTCGTACCTACTCGGGCGAACCGGTAGCAAGAATTTGGTGTGGGTTGCCGAACCGGTAGCAACATCTAGCTGGCCATGCCCCCAACCCGGTCGCCCAGTTTCCGCTCACTTGCTTGCCCCGCCCACCCAATGCTCGCTGCCCCAGTTTAAAGGAGGACTGCTCCCCCGCCCTACCCATGCATTTTCAAGCAGCCACTTGAAAACACATGACTGTGGGTGGAGCAGCGGTCCATTAACCTGCAAAACTGTTCCAAGGCTGGATTCTTCATGGACACTAGAAGTATCGCTTCCCCTTGTGAGTAAAGTGCCTGGAGGAGAGGGAAAGAACGCTGGGGGAGGGGGGGGGGGGG